GAGACACTACCAGTGTCTCCAGATTAATGGTATGGTTTATATAATGCGTTTAAATAATGTTAAGAATGTAATGAATTGTATACCATGATACTTAGTTGAGGTATTAACTTTATCTCAAATACATTTTTGTGAAATATGAGGTATCTTCCCGTGATAAAGTTTGGCAACTAACCTTAAAAATTAAGTATTTTTCATATTGTAAGTTTTGGAATAGTGTATTAATATTACACTAGTATATTATTATATAAGATTCCACAGACAAATTTACATAAACATTTATGGAATGTGAAGTTTGCTGGAATCCTGAATGTCTTGATGTATACTAGTATTATTAATAAATCGAATGTAAAACGTTTTAGTTATGTATCTAGCCTATATATTATAGATAATAAAGTTTCTGTTATATTAACGAGTATTGATAAATCATAAATTACTTCTATTCTTTTATAAATAATGCATTTTCTTCTAATTGTAAGTTATAAATATATAAATATCTATCCACATTTGATTAATCTCTCTGACACAACGTACATTTCTATTTCTTTTCGTCTTAAAAAATACTTGATCTTAAAAAAAACAAAATCGATATAATTTTGGATTTGAGTTATCTGCTAGCTTAAAGAAATATAATTTATTCTTTTAACGCATAATTTTCCTTTAATATCAATATGCATCGTATCAATGACGTTTCTTGAAATGTTAAATATTATAGTAAAGTCGATCGTTCTATGATCAATGGCGATATTAAAATCGCCAAATTTAAACTTCTGCGCTGCATTTAATCTTCATAGAAGAATTTTTATTTTCGTCTTACCTATTATTTTCGCATGTGCGTCTCGATAGATGCAGCAGGTCACGACATTCTCATTGACACATGAATCAAATGTAGGTATAACGGCTCAATTGTAAATATGGCATAGAAGAAGGGTAGTTGTCTTAAGACAGCTTAAAGTCATTACTCCGAAAAGCATGAGTCCCTCTAAAAATTGCAAACATGATTTTTGAAAATTTTGCTGGTGGCATTGGCTATGTGATTCAAGCTCTCCCTCAACGCTACACATCTATACCCCTCTATCCTCGTCCCTTTGCCCGACATTTGTCTCTCTCTTTCTCCCACTCACGAACCCGAGGTACGCTCGCTCATTCAAGCTCGACCCCAGTCGACTCGACAACGATTCAGTCGCGGTCGACCCGCCACGCTGCGAGCTTTGTTGAGTACGCGTCTGCTCCGAGGTGCCTTTTTCTCCTTTCGTCTCTGCTTCTCCTCTGTTTTCGCCCGTATCTCTATTTGATCATCTCCGTCTTCCTATTGCACCATATTCTCTCTTTCACTTTCTAACTCTCTTTTCTTCTCTGGATCTCATCTCATTCCGATCGAGTCATCGTTCTTTAAGAAAGATAATGCAGTTCTCTTAAAGGAGCAACGAGATTTCTGTTCAACTCACCAGCTAAAGGAAAGCAAACTCGCGAATCAGGATTTGTTTGATATATCTCCATGGTGAAGGAGCGAAAGAAAAAGACAAAGCGCTGTGTGGATGGAAGAGAAAGATAATCGCAAAATTGACTTGGAGGTTCGAAAATCTTTGGAGTTTGCCCCACCGCGATTCATCGAGAGCTTGGACTCGCGTGCGACGGCTCAGCGGATCTTGACAATTTTCTCACATTGCGAATGTGCCGATAAGAACTCGTTCCTGAAATCACAGCGAACTTGTAATGAATCGCTCTCATGTACGAGCAAACGAATGTCAAATGAGCGAATATGTCGCGATTTCACGTAAAGAGGAATCATGACCGTGGAAAAAGGACGTTAGAATGTATAATCGACGACTATCACACTATTGTGCGGCTTCGCTCAAATGCGGAAACGAGCTCTTTCGATCACGTCGGCTTCCGTTTATGCCTAATAATTAATCTAAGACTACGGAAGAAAATTCATACAATACTGTATGTATGAATATTTTTCATCGAGGAATATATATCCACGAAGAGGCAAGAAAAGGGGCGCGAGAACCGTGACAGCCTCAAAGATCGACGCATCCGGAGATGTTCCTCGAGGGCTGCGCGGTCCAGGGCTGGAAGACTCACTTGCGTAAAAGGATGTATGTGCTGTCGATATGTGACTCGGTGAGCAACGCGCTGCGATAATGGAGTGATTCGGTAGTCGTGATAACGCCTATGGTACACGTGTGCGAATGCCAACAGATACGAGGGAGTCCTGTGAGAACGTGCTACGTCAAGTGCTTGACGCTTGACAGAACCAATTTTGCTGGAAATTGCGAGGGATTGCAAGTGGAGATCCGAAAACTTATGTGAGTTTTCTATGACATACGTACCTACACACATCACAACTATTTCGATAATTATGATAAGATTTACTATTTTTGGTGTTATGAACGTTCTTCGTCATACCCAAGTAAAGAAATTGGAAATATCGAAAAAATCATTCCATTTACACATCTTCTAAATTATAGATTTGATTATATAACCTTTTAATTCTGATAATATAGGTGTACTAATAAAATTATTATGCTTGAATTATTGTATATTATTTAAGTTTCATGTGATTATTTTTTCCCATTATGAATTATATAATGAAATAACATTTTAAAATAAAATAAACGGGATGCTTTTGCAGAAGTAATTACGATATAAGTAAATATTAAACAATACAAGCCGTACAGCTCGATAATTTTGACACGATTTTGAAAAAAAGATGCAAACAGGTTTTTATTACTAATAGAAACTTTAGAAATTAATAAAAATGACCAGATAACCCATATCCTAAACTTATACATTCATTTATTAATATTGTTAATTTTTAATACATTTATGTCACATTTCATGTAAGATGTTTAAGTGAATTATTGAATTAAAAAAATTGCCATAATGTATTTGATACTTTTTGTTATATTTTTATATCGCTAAATATATAAAGTAGAAGGAAGAGTTCTCAATATAATATTAATTAATCTAAATATATATATTCCGCTGAGATATTTTAAAAGATAAATTTTACTGATATGTGTAATAACCTAAGCTAATATCTCGCTACTTACTTTAAATTTGTTCCAGAGCTATACAAGTAACATGAATTACAAGACTATTAACAGATTTTTATGTACATTTGTATGTTGATTCACTGTCATGTCGACAAACAGATTTTGTTTACTAGCTTAGCGAGGTCGCACATACACATACGCGAAGCGCGAGAAAATTATATTTAGCAAATGAGATCCTATCGTGTCGCACGGTATTGCTTTGCGTGACATGAGAAATAAGTATTTGCAGCTATTTATCCGTGTGCGCCTGTGCTATATTTCGTTTGCAACTTTCGATACAGAATATTGTCAACATGTACCATAAATTTTCTATTTATGCAGTAAATTATTTAAGTCGATCAAATTTGTTCATTGAAACAAAAAATAAAAGTAGAAGTGATATAAAAGCAGGAGTAAAAGCAAAATTTTTAACAAATATGGAAAAGTGGAATTATTATTTATTATAACATTAAGTGTTTGTATAAAATTCTTTAATAAAACAGTTTACAGAAAATTCAATTTTTATGTATAGTAAGAAAATTTATATTGGTCTCACACGCGCGCGTGCACACACACGCACATACATTAAAATATGAATCAAGTTTATTTACAAGTGCAGTTTCGAAACAGCAGGCACCTGTCGCGTATCAATTACAACACTGCAATGTTACTTATATGTTCTATCCATTTGCGTGCTTCAAAAAACTCTTTTGATTCAAATAATAATACTCTATGCCTTCACATTACATTTGATTATTCGCATCATTAGGCAGTTTTGATGAAATTAATTGATAAGTATCTTTGTATTTCTCAGAGAGTATGTATTCTAAAGATACGTGCATAATAAGGTATGCCTATAATAAGCTATACATAATATTGGCATAAAATTATATTTTATCTACAAAACTTTGTTTATATAATACATAAATAAATGTGAATTAAATTTTTCGTTATATGATGTGTATATTTAACCCTTACTCTACTAATATGGGTAACCAGTGACCGAGCGATTCCTGTTCGTGCAAGTTTCGTTGAATCTTTCAGTAATTATAAATTATACTACATTTTATTTATTTTCCAAAATAAAGAGTCAATATTTATTCTAGAAAGTTGAAAGTATGTTGGTGAATTTTTAGAGATTTTTAAAATTATTTTGAAGAGGTGAAAAAACGAAAAGATTTGAAGTGACCCTTGATGGTATGGATGAGGCACCAAATTGTAGATGGTACGGTAAGATATATATATATATATATATATATATATATATATAAGTGTATTCCAGATGCATTTGTTATCCAATATTACAGGCATTATATATAGACAACTTGAATACTATTGCATGTTGTATTTTTTAAATTTATTTTATCAAATTATATTTATAACATTTAGAGAAACCTAATATTGGTCAATTTTACTAAAAAAGAGTAATTAATCACGTATCTTAAATAATAAAATCGTTGTTGTTCAGTTTTTTTAGAACTTCAAGTAAGTAATTAATTAATATCTTACAGTAATATATAAATTAAATTTCTATAAGGGAATGCATTAAACATGTATCAATTTTAAAGAATTAGTATTTCAAAATCGAAACAAGTATTCATTTTTATCCGAGGGATTGGTCACGCGGTTATGATGTACAAAAATTACCCTTGATACGGATTATCTTTATAAATTATCTCAGATTACTTAAGATTACCTAATACTACTTCAAATTATTCTAGATTATCAAATACTACCTTATATTAGCTTAGAGCGTTTAAACTTACGTTACATTTTCTGAAATTACCCAAGATTTTTCCAAATTTACTTTGCTCATCTAAGATTATCTTATACGAGTAAAGTGTTATTTTTTCGGATCATTCCAGAATATACCACTATGATAAGTATCTTTGAGAACATCGATTTTAGATTTTCACTTCAGAAAAAAACGTAATTTTACAAAACAAATATTTATCGCATACAGAAACACAATAATGGAAAAATTTCGCAAACAGAATATGTATTATACAAGTGTATACATAGTAACAAGTTTGAGTTTACTCGTAACGCTTGAAATTTTTTAATACTAACAAAACAATATATCCAATTAAATATAAATATTAATAGATATTTTCTTCTTCTTCTTCTTCTTCTTCCTCTTCCTCCTCCTCCTCTTCTTTTTCTTCTTCTTCTTCTTCTTCTTTCTTCTTACGTTAGGTCTCTGGCCTGTGTGTTACATTTTTCACATATGCTTATTATGCGCACGCTGATTATTCAATTGCTACGAGCATATAGGACCTACAGTTTTAATGTCGGTTCCGAACGGAGGATTTTTCGAGAGGTGTTTCTTTTGATAAGGATACTCTTGGAAAGTTGCCGGCCTTTTCCAAAAGGAGATACGAAAGTAAATATTTTGGATCCTACTGGGATCAAACCCAGGACCTCTGGCATAATAGACCAGTGCACTATCTGCCATGCTATGTTAACGCTCAATAGGTAGGGTAACTCCGGTATATACGTCGCGCTGGGATTTACGCCGCGGAAGTCAGAAAAAATAGAAAGAGTGGGGGTAATTTTCTCGCAACTACTTTACTGTTACATGCCTTTATGTTATATTAGTATTGAGTTATAATTTCAGCTTCTTACTGTTAATATTAATGAAATTATTGTGAGTTGAATCGATTTGTCACTGGTGTGTAACAAGTAGCATCATCATAAATTATAATCTACATAAAATGATTACTGTAAGGCGTGTAAAAGACCTAGTGGTTATTATATACGTGTAGAGGAATAGTAAAGCATGTTGTATAGAGCAAAATACAAGTGCTTTGCTTCCGTATTCTTTGTTTAGTTTGTTGAAACACTTACATTTTTGCCATATATCCCACCCATTATCTATATACAGCAAAAATGCAAGATTTCCAAAAGTTAATTTTTTAATACAAAAACTAAATATTTCAGATTTCTAATATTTTTGTAATAGTAGTAGACAGTACAAAATTTTTACTGTATAGTTCGTTTATTTTAAACATAGTAAATAATACTTAATAAATTAAGTTTTTGATAGGTGCGGCGTATATACCGGAGTTACTCTATATTATAAAATAAAAAATATTTAAGAAAACACCAATAGAAACACAGACTCTTTGTTAAACGATATCACAACTTACAATTAGGGTTAAATTAAAAATTTTGCGACTAATCAAGTTAAGTATGAATAAAAAGGTACTTGCGGAACAAATATCTTAAAACTTTTATGTGTATATACTTAATCATTATGCAAGTCCTAACGTAATTAATACTTTTTTTTACCTTTTTTGAATTGTTTTATGATCTGCAATTTTCTATCAGATTGAAAAATTAAAGGATTAACAACACCTTGCATATTAATGAAGCAATAAAAAATATATGTATCTATTCTCAACTTCGTGAATATCGTCTTTTTACGACCACTTAAAAACCTCTAAATTTTAAAACAGAAACTTTATTTTAAATACTTGATTAGTATATTATTGTAAAAAGCAGTGTTGTCTGTCGTAGGGAATTTAACCGCGCGTTAAATTGTTTTTTCAGACTTGAAACGTATTTATGCACAGAATTAGAACAGTAATATCACATATTAAATTATATATAAGTAATTTAATAATTTTTTATGCTAATAAACATCTAGTAAAAAAGAATATTCATTATTTGTTCTTAATAATCATTTGAAAAACTGCTATAATAATTTTATTGCGAAAAATATTACCTCGACTGATAATCGAATTCCGATTTTACTGAAACTTTGTATACACATAGGTTATGTAAATAGACGAAGTTAGAAAATATCAGTTACACACACTGTCTAAAAACAATTTTAAGGAGCGAATCACATGTAAAGAGGTTTTTAGTTTTTTTTCGTTATATCTCAAAAATTATTCAAAATATCACAATAAATGTTTTATACCAAATTTTTACACTAAAACTATCTCTATTCATCTACGTCAATAATATTTTTGGTAATACTCCAGATTAAGGATCCACCCCCCTTCCAAATGACCTTGACATGTTGTCATGACCTCGAGTGACTTCCAACAAGTTTTAGCCGTCGCTCATTATTCGTTAAGAAGTTATTAACAAAAAAAGTTTGAAAAATGATATTTCTTTTTTTTGTACTGTATGAAACAGACATTTTCTGCTTTAAAGTATATTTTACAACTTTCCATACAAAACGACCTTCATCCCACTTTCCCGCCTGCTTGGGAGCGCACGAATTCCACGCGAAGTGACTCCCACCCCATCTCCTCTCCTGCTTGGAGGTGCACGATTTCCACGCGAAGCGACTCCCACCCCGCCTCCCCCCT